ATGATCCATTGGAATGTTGGGCAGATTAGGTCATTTCCCAAATACAGTAAGCCCATCAGTGGCCCACCCAATTTTAACCCAACCTGGCCAATTGCCATCTTTACCTGTAGAACTCAAGGCTTTGCAGATTTTTTTTTTTTTTAAATGAACACTCTGAGTTACTTCACTAGATGAGCTTCTTGCTTTTTTCAGCGCTTTATCATGGTGTTGAACTCCTGAGCTGCAAATGTTACTAGTGGCAAACACAGTATTATGACTATGTGAGCTTGTTCTGGAGAGTGGGTATTGGTTTTTGCTTTTACAGTGCATTCTTTTTTTTTTTTTAAACAATCTGGTTGAAGTAAATACTGGTGCTAAATCAGGTGGATATTGGTTTTTGCTTTACAAGCATTTACAATGCATTCTTTTTTGTTTCCATTTTTTAACAATCTGGTTGAAGAAAATATTGGTGCTAAATTAGTTTCCTATCTTCCTTAAATAGTGCTTTGGTGCTATCTGGTAATTTGCCGAGGCAGCTGGGACTTGATTTCTAATATTATCGAGTGTGATTCTTGTGGTTCTGTAGCTTTTAAAATTTTGATGTGTCAGTAACATCTCCAGTTAAGCAAAGTCTCTTGGTTCCATCGCAGGGAAAAAATGGTGAAACGGGGCAGAGGTCGCCCTAGAAAAGATTCCTCCTCCTCCTCCTACTTATCCTTCATGGATGTCCGCCCGGAGTTCTTCAAAGTGTTTTTGCCGATGTCAGTTCTCAACAGCTTGTAATACCGTGCCTCTTCCCTTTTATTCTCTTTTCCGTGCATCAAAATTTGTTTTTTAAGTCTCATACATTGTGATGATTGAATGCATGCTATGTTTTGTTTTCCTTTTTTTTTTTTTTATCATTCATGTTTTAGTGTTTCCTGCTGTCGATTTTCTGTCTGGAATCGAGAAATAGTGCATTCAAAATTTTTTTTGTCGTCATTAATTCTCTCTTGTTCGGCATGTTTAACTGCTGTTGGCTTTTCGGTTTGATCTAGTTGTAAGAAATTCTAAGTTCCAGTCCCATATTATAGGATTCAAAACTGGTGGAATTAGCGTGCTCTGTAGCTTAATTAATAACAGAAAAGAGGGCGTAATTTTCAGTTACTTATTATGGTCATTTGTACTCAGGGCATGCACTGGTCATTGTATGCAAAAAATTATACAAAAATAGCTCATAATTGTGAGTCTTTAATTTTTAAGTCATGAAGCACGCCCTTTTTTACATTTTTTCCAAGTTTATTTGGGGAACTGACGAATGCCTGCAAGTTATGGGTTGATATAGTGTCAAGAAACTTGAAGTCAGGGTCCCAGAGTGTAAGGTTAGTCAAGGGAATTGACAACAAATGATTGGAAATTGTAGGGTTGATCAAGTAGTGAAAACTTGAATTCAAGTTGAGTGCACAAAGATTGGTTACAAGGTGGTTCAGAGGCTGGGCAACTGCAAATTGAACTTGCCTGGCAAGCACTGGATGGGATTAATTCCAGCATTTGGTTCCCCTGGCATTAAGTGCATACTTGAACTTGAACTCAATGGAGTTGAACTTGTTTGGTGCCTGTTCTTGGTTACATGTTTGTATCATGATCATAGTGGCAAAGAAAACTGTAAGCTGCATGGCTAATTGGGTAGAGTAGAGTCTCTGCTGATAGTAATTATAAATGGTATGCTTTGAGCCCAATCTTGACTAACAATCACTTTTCTGGAATTTAGAAAAAAATATATCAATAACCAGTCAATCACTTCGCTGGAGTTTGAAAGGAAAAATGGCATTTTGAGTGTTTTCAGTAAAGTAATTTGGTCCATGAATCATGCCTCCTAGTTCTCTTAGGTTTGGCTTTTGGCTAAAAGCAGCAAGTGTGACTTAAGAAGCGAACTTCTCTCAGCCCACAACATCCTCTACTTAGCAGAACATGGAGTTGGTTGTGGCAGAATGGGCTCACCCTTCTTCTTAAATGGGATGTACTTATTGATTTGGTGCTATTAAAGCAGTATGCACTTTTTGATGTTGTCTTATTCTTCTATTAGTGAATATGGAACCAATAAAGATCTATTTTTAAGCGGCTGTTTTCTGTATACTCTTATTCAAGTGTGTTATGTGTGGAAATTCTTAATTTTACATTTGGACTTAGTACCAAGTAGTTGATTTTTGTCCCAACAGTGTTACAACCAGCGCAGCACCATGTGCACTTATTTGCATTTTTTGCAATATATCATGCCTGCTAATTATATTCACAATGGAACCTTCTTAAACACTTGCTTTTCAATTGTTGAAAATAGGAGATTGTGGCAGACAACAAATATTCAAAGAAACCAATTTCAAATGTAAAAGTCTTCACTGGTGTAAGCCTGGGGAAATAATACATTTTTCTGATAAAAGCTTTTGTAAATTGTCTAGAAACTGATGCCTAACATGGTATTGGGTTAGTTAAACTAATGACACTGTGATCTATGATTCTCTATGGAGTTTTGATTGCAACCTACATCATGCTTCGTTGACAGTATGAATGACGTATTCACGTGAACTTCCATTTACTATATAGTATGCTTTAAATCACAAATTAGTATGATCTAGCATTTGATGTACAAGTTATTTCCAGATGAGACTCGTGTCTGCTCGAGTGTCTCAGTATGCCCAAGGCAATGTTGTGGGGTGCTTTGCCTCCATACAGTCTAACTCGGAAGTATTACAAGTTTGAATGAATACTACATACAAGCTTGTGTTGTTTACCATGCATTTGTGGTCGATTGTTTGGGTGTAATTGTATGGTATTGGTAACTGAAGAGGAAGATGGTGTCAATATCCTTAATTGTCTGCCTCTGCAACGCATCATTTTCTTATTGCTCAAGTTCAACAACACCACACATAGTGTACATTGCAACTTGTTTTGGAATCAAGATTGAAACTGCTAGAAGATTTTATTTCAACCAGGTTTAAATAATAATTACACAGAGCAGTCAAGAGCTGACAATCAAAGAATTGCTTAAAAATGAAAAATGGACACCTTTTTCTTTAATGTCTTCAATTGGAGGCAAGGGGGTTCCAATGAGAGTTAGGATTCTAAGTGAATGTATTATTAGTAACTTGATAATATATCAACCTTCATTGTATTCAGATAAGTATACACTATACTTGAAGAATTTTGATAGTACTATAAGTAAGACCGATCTCTCTTTCCCTGATTGTCAAACTAGTCTGGCATTGGCTGGTCACTTGATTAACTTTGCATTACTTTCTTGCAGTTATTTGCCTGGTTGTACGACTCTCCTGTTTCTTTGATGATACACAGGGAATGGATTGAACTGCAGATTTAGTTTAGTGCAGGAAATGGCCACTCTAATGTCTTTTAACTCATTACTGCTATTGGGTCATTTTGGTGGTGCTTTCTGTTAACTTTGCTTTTCCCACATAGTCTAAGTTCAAAAATATGAATGCAATTTGATCAGCGTAAAAACAGATGTGGATGAACATATAAAATTGATGTATTAACATGGAATTTTAAACAAAAAGTGACATGGAAACTTCTTGTTGTAAATGATGAAATATGGATCTAAACATAGATTTACGCTATCAGGGAAGAACAAAGTGATAGCTACTTATCCATGGATGAATTTAGAGGACCATGTAAGCGATAGGAGTCTAAATGGGACAAGGGTTTTCAAGGGAGGGGAATGTCTGGCAACGGATGTGGCTAGATATTCTTTTTAAAATCCAGTGCCTCTATGTATAAACTGTGCAAATTTATCCTTTTGGCGTGAACATTATATAGAAACCTTCTAATTATAGGATGGGCCATCAGAAAGTGTTTGTTCTGATCGCTATGTTCATATACATAAATATGTATGTATGTATGTGTGTGTGCATGTGCACGCATGTGTGTGTGTAGTTATAATTATAGTTATAACCAAGAGAATAAGAGGGCTTTTATGCAGCTTGAAAAACTTTAATTGTGGGTTACCTGTTAAGCTGTGAAAATAGCAGTTTCATTTATAGAAACCATGATACGATAATATACATGTTTCAGACATGCTAGGATTGAAAATTTGAGTTTTTATGATGAGATATACATTGGAAGCAACTGTTGATGTCAAAAGGCGTATTGCAAAATGAGGAACTATGCCAAACTAATGTTGCATTTAGCCTTTTGAGATGAAACATGAGGATAGTAGATGTGCAAATGTACAAATACAGCTTCAAGCTGTTAAGACTAATGAGGCAATTAAGAGAGGAGTAAAGATTATTTGAAAGTGATTCAATAATATGACTTTTGGAGTTAAAAGCAGACAGAACGCCATTGCGTGCTTAAGTAGGATTTGATAATATGTTTGTACTCCAGTTTGTTGGATTTATTGTCCTCTACACAAAATATGTCTAATGATTTCATGTTGCCTTTGTGTATTCTTATCTGCTATTTCCCATCTCTGTTCTGTAGTAGTTCCACTTGACATCAAGTTTCATGCGACAACTAAAGTATGAAACCAAAAGATGAAGTGGGGCATCATTGTGGTCTCCAAAGGAGCATGTTAGGCTCCAATCAACTTCTCTGAGTATCAAATACGAAAACCAGTAATTGTAGGACAGTTTTTTTTTTCCATTACTTTTTCCCCCCTACTTATGTGGAAAGGAAAGCTGGATATTCCATTTTGAAGATTATCACATTGATAATTGCTCTTATAGCTAGCGTACAATATGTTTAGAATAGTTATGTGTAGACAATGAACTAGGGGCTGCATTCCACTCCTGGAAAGGAAAGCTGGATATTCCATTTTGAAGATTATCACATTGATCATTGCTCTTTAACAGTGTACAATATGTTTAGAATAATTATGTGTAGACAGAGAACTAGGGGCTGCATTCCGCTTCTGGATATACTATGATGTACCCAACTTGAAATGGTTGTTATTTTTGCAGCGCAGTGCCACCACTATTTGTTAAGAAATTCAGTGGATTAGTATGCAAAAGAATAAAACTCAGATGTATTGACGGGAAAAATTGGGCGATGTGGATGTTGAAGAAACTCAGGAAGGTGTTTTCATGAAGAATGGCTGGCAAGCTTTTGCTGATCATCATCTCTTGAAACTTGGAGAATTTTTAGTTTTCCGTTATGATGGAAATTCTGTGTTTACTGTTAAGATATTTCGGACACATGGATGCAAGGAGGAAGCTTTTGTCAGAGAGAAGATTGCTGCAGATGTGAAAATTGAACCATTGGAAGATCAGATTGCAGCTACAGAGCATACGTGTGCAAAACACTCTTGCAATTCAGATGGAGAGGGCAATAAGCTTGATACATCAAGAGGTTAGTTCTGAAAGTTTCTAGAAGTATTTTTGCAATACTATTGCTCTGTGGTATCGAATATGATATGTACATGCAGGTGTACGAGAAGGAAAGCAGCAAATGTCATCCAGATTTCATTCACAGACAGTTCAGATGGAGCGGGACTCTGAATTTGGCAGTATCAGGTCTATCAGTCGCACACAGATGCATAAGCTGGTATGCTTTGAATTTTACACCTCAGAACTGATTCATAAGAAGCATGGTCAAGCATCATGTGCTTTGACATCCATCCAGTTCCAGACATTTTGTATTCAGAACACCATACTATTTAGGATTTGCATATCTGATTATTCTTTTGGTTTGCCCGTAACTTTGATATAATGTAATGCCCATTAGACTGCATACCTGTTGGTTGACTGAACAAAGAAGTTTAAATTTTGAACAGTGGGTTTAGTAAACAGACAATACAAGTTTGTAAAAGTACTTCATATGCTTAAAGATGTCTCTTTCCGGCCATTTATTTGGTTTCACAGGGTTGCTGTGGTAAACAGTGAACTTTATGAAAGCATGCTTGTAGCTTCATTAGACTAAGCTATTCTTAGAGATTGATAAGAATTGAAAGAAAGAAATTATTGGATTACCGTTTTCAGAACTTTCTGTTAGCAGAATTTAGATGAATGTGTCCTGGTTGGTGATTAAGGAAGTAATTGTTTCAGAGCTTATTATAGGGCCTTCAGCGTCTTGTTTCCAAGATGATGATTTACTAGTGAGAGTTAGAGCCCAGTACCAAAAAAGCGGCTTCTACTGTGCATTTGAGATGCTCTTATGCTCGATAGGATACTATATTTTACGGAATTCTCTTTTTATATTCTCTTCTAACCTGGAAGATTACTCTCTCTCTCTCAGTTTTGTTAAACATGAGAATGCAATTGTTCTTGTAGGATTATGACTTCCCTTTCAGGGCTAGTCTCATATCTGGGCTTGTGTTAATCCTAGATATCTTGCTCAAGTAATAATTTTGATTTTACTCACTCTCTGGCTCAAATGCGGAGGAGGTTTTTATGCTCAAAGTCTGAGTGTATTTTTAAAGTTTACTGCCATGCCTTAGTAGAATATAAAAAACACTCTTCTTGTGAGACAGAGTGAAAAAGAGAGAGAAATAATGATCAATTTTAGTAGATTTTTCTAACAAAAAGATACAGAGCATTTCATTGAAAATAGTAATCAGGCATTTTAAGATGATCATTAAAAAATTTGTTTTGATTTGGCCATTCTAACTATTTTTTTATTATGTTCTTTGATATTCTTTTCTAGAGATGATCTCTTGGTTTCCATGTATTTGCTTGAAAGTCACGTATTTTTATGCACCATTCATGGAGTTCTCTTCTGAGTCTCTTTTAATCTTTATCCCCTTGGATCCTTAAGTTCTTCATTCTCATTCGGGTTGTACAGTGATAATTTAACTCTAATGATGTATGACATAGGCAGTAATTACTGATAACGTGATCCCAAGGAAATCTGAGTTCCTCTTGGTCGTTCTTTTTCTTGATTGCTTTCATACATGAAATTTTGTTTTCATCCAGTTCTGTTTTCTCCTCCATGTTATTATAAGCTAATCTGAACAGCACATTTCGAGGTCTCAAGTTTTCAGCCTTTTTATCTTTTTTTTCATTTAAGGCTTTCATCCTTCTACAATAATTTTTTTGCGGGTGAATATTTTTTGATGATTTCAGATGCTTTCAAAAGGTTTCATCTCTAAGAACAACATAACTGGGGTCAAATGTAATGCTCTGCAATGAGAAGGAAGAAAAGTGGCCCGTAAAATTCACACACTTCAGAGATGGCCGTGCATGTATTGGGACTGGATGGATGGCATTCTGGAAAGACAACGAATGTGCGAGGGTGACAAATTCAAGTTGGTGTTTGACGAGGGAAGAGGAGGAAAGATGATAACAGTGTGCAAGGTTTAGGTACAAAGGCCCTCTAGTATATTGGCTAAACTTGGCGTATATAGACTACATTTTGTGCTGGAATTTCTTGTAATTAACTATAGTATAGTTGCCCCAGTGACTTAGCATATCCTGTTTGGTCTTTCTTTGCGTAAGGGGAAAAGATTAGGATCTTTTTTGTTTGGTTTTGCCTTGCCCAGTACAAGAGTGTGATTTTCGCTTCCTGAGTTTTGCCTGAAGCTCACAGGAAAACTGACTCTGAAGATCTATTGAATGAAAGGGTTGGCTACCTTTTGGATCAATTTCATGGCTTGATTTTATTGTCGACTCATTTGGCATCAAATCTTATGAGATGACGAAAAGAAAAGTATATTTGCTTGTATCGACTGTCCAGTGCACTGTAGGGGCAAGGTGAAATCAGGATTGAAATAATGATAAACAAAAGGAGCATTAGTCTAGCCATCATTTCTTACAATACACAATGGACTTGAAACAAAGATTGAGCACCCAATGAGCAAAAATTGAGTATCAATCATTTACTGACATGGTGGCTTCACTGATGTAAATGATGAATGATGGTTAAAAAGCACATAATATATAAGTATTGAGTGCAATTTATAAGCTGATATAGTGCAAGATGCGTCAAATCAATGACTTTGACAAATGAAGAAATTTTTCATTAATTTTCACTAACTACAATATACCAAACTTAATTTTGATTGCTGTCATATTTAAAATAATACCGGTGGACTTGTAAATTACAATTAGTCATGCTTACTAGTTTATCACGATCCTTATTAAAATAGGGAAAATCGTTCAAAACATCTCTCACATTTTGTAAAATGACTTTTTTGTCCCTCACTTTTAAAAGTGTAATTTTACATCCCTTACAAATTCATATTGGTCAAATTTGGTCCCTATTTAGGTTTCTAACTAATTTTTGGTCGAAATCTATCACGTGCCATGCACGTGATCATTTTTTAGGACAAAATTGTCAAATCAAATTTTACACAGTTCTATCTATAGTTCCTTATATTTCACAAAATGAATTTTTTATCTCTTATTGATCATATGTACGAATAATTTTTTTTAAACTCATGTATGTATCTATTTAATTTTACCTGAACAATACGAATAGCATGTGTACAACTACAATTAATCTATTTAGACGAAATTAAATTGAGATATATTACATAATATTCATACTATTTAGGTGAAATTAAATAGATATATACATGGATTTAAAAAAATTATTAGCTTTTCACTCATGTTCATTTCCTTTTACTCAAAAATTGAAAACAAAGAAGAGATTTAATCCTAAACATTGTCAAGTGTTTATATCGAATTAAATTTGGATAGAAAAAATAAACAAATGAAAAGTATGACAGAAGGAAATAAGTAATTGGCACTTTCAAATTTTAAGATAATCACAAGACAAATAATTCAACAGTGGGTCTTAAAGGCGGCAAGTAGAAATTTTAGATTTAAATTGCAATTTATTAGCATGATTATAGAATTTGAATTAAAACCCATTAATTAGATGGCCTTATTATACAACTCGATAAATGAATTATTATTAAAAGAGAAAAGACCACAAATATTGAACGAGTTCACATGGTAAAATCAAATAGATATGTACATGAGTTAAAAAAAAAATTGTTAGTTTTAAACCCATGTATATATGTATTAAATAGCATGTGTACAATTACAATTAATTTGTTTATAGTTGAAATCAAATAAAGATATATTACATGCTATTCATGCTATTCAAGAGAAAGCAAATAGATATATATGTGGGTTAAAAAAAATTGCTATTTATACACATGGTCAACGAGAGATGAAAAAAAATTCATTTTATGAAATGTGAGGGACTATGGATCAAATTATGTAAAATTTGATTTGACAATTTTATCCCTAAAAAATAATCATGTGCAAGGCACGTGGTGGATTCTGACAAAAAAAATAGTTGGAAACTTAGGTACGGACTAAAATTGGCTAATGTGAATTTGTAGAAGAAGTAAAATTATACTTCTAAAAGTTAGGGACAAAAAAATTATTTTACAAAATTTGAGGGACGTTTTAAACGATTTTCTTAATTCTATTGCCTTGGTATGAGTTATAAAACACCCATCACAATCACAAAAATGATCCTTTTTAATTATCACAACAATTACAAGAAATTCATTAGGAAACGAGATTCTCTAAAAACACGTCACTAAGGATATGCCAACACATGTATTGATTGGAAAATTAAAACGAAATAACAAGCAAATAGATGGAGAGAGAGGAGGAGGAGGATGAAAAAGAGAAGCAAATGAAGAGAAAAAGAAGATGCTAAATAAATACAAAAGGTAGGCTAGAAATTTTGGGCCCTTTTGGTCGTCTCATCACAAGACATATTTGTTTATATTTTCAGCAATGGCATTTTTCCTCCTTGTGAACTATAACAAAGTTAATCCCTTGTTTTGAATAATGAAAGTTCCTCTTTCCATCTAGCAAAATTTCCCTTCCTTTTTGCCCCACGTCTCCCTCTGTACATGGGGCAGTAGTGCAATATTTTTTGAATGTTTTGTAAATCTAAATAAACTTTTTATACATTCTTATAACAAAAGTATAATATTTTGTTACTGTTTATATGACGTCTTTGTTTTTAAATTTTACAAATAATTCACATAAAGTTACGTCTCGTTGAAAAAATGTTACACCATTCAAGACACGATTGTCCGTGCCCTTAGTCCCTATATATAATGTAATGTGGTTAATAGCCTTACCCCCACTAGTATTAAAGCCAATTTCCCTGTTGAATTTGATCAGACGTCATCTACTACAGATGGATCATTTGGAAGGCCAATGAGAACCTCTCTTTTTAACCGAAATTATCCTGTGTTTTTAAACTCGGACTCGACCGATCGAACCGAGAACCGGCCAAGTGTTAGATTCGAGTTAGTCTAGAAAACCGAATGAATAAAAACTCGGTTTAACCCGGTCAAAAACTGGATTTGACAGGGAAAAAAAACCGAAAGAACAGGTTTAGTCAAAGCCTTTTTTGAAAAAAGGTCAAATATTTTTAATATTATGTTTTGACCCCTAAGTTGTTAAAAATTATTAATATACCTCAAATATTTCATACATTATAAATATTGTCCTAAAATTTGATGTTATTTTTCAATCAAATCCACAATTTTAATTCTAAACTTATTAATGTTCATTAAATAATATAAATTGCTACTTGATCGTTCTAATTTCTTTGTCTTTTCTTGTTAAATATATTTGAAACATCAAATATATATGAATATACATTTATTAATATTAACATGCTCTTAGGTATTTTACATACAATATTTTAATTTTTAAATAATTTTTATTTATAACGTCATCTGGTTCAACCCTGATCGAATCGATTGACCCCTGACCCCTGACCTCGACCGAGTCGATATCCGGTTCGAGTCTGAAAATATAGAAATTATCATTTGAATCCTGTTTCTAGTTCTATTCTTCATACATTTGGTTTGATTAGACACTAGTTGTATTTATTTTAGTCCCAATGCATAATATCAACAACAGAAGTATGAGGTTTTTTTGGTGTAAAATAAGTAAATAAGAATGCTGAATTTCTCAACTTGCATGGTGAGTTGATTTACATGTCAAATTTGTCTGCAAAATTAAAGGACAATTTCACATAGCTCCTTGAATTTTTATGATATTGAGATAGTTCTGCTCAAGTTTTTACAACTACACTTGCCTCACTTATTTAAAGATTTCCTTGCACATTGAAAAATTTTCTATTAAATATTGACTTCAAAGGTAAATGATGATTTAATTCCACATTTACGCTAGACAATCTTTTTGGAAACAAATGCAAATTATTTAAGGAAGATAAGTGAAAAATGTGCACTTTTATATTCCAACTCTCATAGAAAGCACAATTTTGTCGTTTGGTGTTAAGACATATTGCTGAGTTTTGAAAAAGAAAAAATATATGTGTATATTCCATAAACTTAACTGTTCAATATCTATAAATGTTGGTAGACAAGAACTCTCAGAAAAATATTTGAAGTTCTACACTGTCCATAATTTGCCTTCTAACAACCCTTTTGCAAATATTTTTCTTCCAATTTACGCAGTGTGAAAAAAAAATAAGGCAGTGAGATACAAATAAGGTACAAATTCTTTTGAGCATGACAAGGTTCATAAAAGTTTCAACTTGCGTCTTGATAATTGATAATAATTCACATAAACCAAATATGTTACGATCCGTTTGGATTCGTGGAATTGAATTCAATGAGGAATTCCACATGACTAGATTTGGAATTCACATTAAATCAAAATGCTTTCTTTGGCTAACAGTTCTTATGTGATAGCCCCACCTCCCCCTAAGACGAACCAAAGGGTTCGGCGGACCGTCTGCCCAACTCTCGCCGGGACTACGGATCCGGAACATACATAAACCCTACAAAAAGCACAAAAAGACTTCGAGAAAACGAACTCTCAGAAACTAAATTAACTAAACTAAGCGATGCAATAGAATTTTGATACGATGCTACAATGAAAATCGAAAACAAAATGAAAGTGCCGCTGCCACGTCACAATCTGGTCGGATTATTGGCCGGATTCGAGGCAGTGGCGAAACCAAAATTTTTCAATCTCCCCTGCCAATCCAGCCAACTATCCGGCCAAGAACTGGCCAGATATACAGCCGGATTCGGTGAACAGTTTCCCGCCAAAAATACTTTTCTTCCTCGTTCAAGTTCAGCGCTCGCTCGATTTCCCCAATGGATACAAGAAACGTTCACCAGAGCCATAATAACGTATCATCTCAACAAATACACTTAATATACATGATTAAGCAC